ACCTCACTGGTCATTTCAGCACAATTTTACAGATTTATGACTCTGACACCCAAGCTGACCTAGATGAATGGGCAGACTTACACCAGGCAAACTGGACACGTGTTTACTAACGTACATCAGGCAAAGTGGCAACCTAAAGAAGCAGTTACAAGGTGATGGTTGTCTGGTCAATGACTAAACCCACACTGAAATACATTTTAAGAAAGGGGAGAGAGGAAACACAGTTTGTTAATAAATACACAAGTTAGATCAGCACAATTGACAAATTTTGTTATAAGTAAATAGTAACGTTGTTGATCTTAAAACTGTTAGCTTCTTTTTCTTTTGCAAACATGGCTGGCGTTCTTGCCTTTAACTTTTTAAGTAACTAGCAAAAATTTGCAATTAACCAAAGAACAGGTAGTTTCAAGCCCTGGTTATATCATAAAGAACTACCTACTAAACTTTCTCGGTAGATTTCCGTGTCTAAGCTTGAATAATTACAGGGACTTATAAGTTATTATTGGAAAAACAAAAGAAGTAATTAGTACATAAATGAAAATACCTAAAAATGTAAAAGCAAATAAGTATCCAAACTCATTCTTATTTATATATAGTGAGGTAACCTGAGAAAATATTAAATTAACAACTTCAAGTATACTGGAAACAAGAAGTACATACATATTTTTTGGCAGGTTAACCTAACATCTTCTGGTGACAATCACCTGAAGATGCTAGACCAACTTGGTGAAACATATTTATTTACTTATTATGCCATTTAACTTGTTAATTTATCATTTTTATTTAGTTACGGGTAATCGGTATAAACATTTGTTACATGAAACGTGTACCAATGCAAATAATTTTGTACACGTTAAAATTAAAAACTAAATTTCATTATTTTCCATATGAGATAGCCTAGAGCAATAAATTTTGTATTCAATAACAACATAAAACTTGTAAGTATACATATAACTGAAAGTATTCAGTATATATATAGATGGCTACACTCAGCCACTCACGTGAACAGATAGATAAGAGAAAAAGCTATAAATACCCATTTCTTCCAAGTGGGCAGGAGAGACAGCACGTTCTTTGGGCCTCATTTCTTTGACACAGTGGGTATCATCAACTTTTACATCTTGATCTTCCCCATATCCTCTCTTATTTAGTGATGTACTTGATGCAGATGCTGGATTCTCCAATCTTTCAACACATGGAGAAGGAGAAACTGGAGGAAGAGGTGGAGAAGTTTTGGGTCGCTGAAGAGCACTAACAGGTCTTCGCTTTTTTACATTCTGGATAGTAGACTTAGATGTTGAATACTGACTAATTTTCACTGGTAGGTTATCTGTAGAAGACTTTACATAAAAAGTAGATTTTTCTTTGATTTGATTTTTAGAGAGCTGTGGAGCCTTCTTCTTCTGCAGTAATGTTATCATCCTCGAAATTGATTGCAACTGTTTTTTACCTACTTTACCTGATTCATGCATATTTCCCGACAATCGCCCTTGCAACACAGAACTGCGAGTTCCCTTTCTCATTCTTTTTCTATCAGTATTTACAGGCACAAATAAACCAGAATCAATTTTCGTCGAACATGGGTTTCTCATTAGATGATGGTCATCTTCAGAATGGGTCTCCGTTCTGCTATAAGTTGAAGGATTGTTCCATTCTTGAATTCTTACTTCAGGATTAATGGTTTCACAGAGAACCCGTGTTCTTTCATTATATGACACCGTCTGGTAACAAACAGCCTCATATAAATGGTCAAAAACTGTGGATTCTGTTGAAGTACTTCCACATTCATCATCATCATCATCAACCTGGTTGTTGACAACAGTAAAAATTTTTCTTTTTTTAAATAAAGATCATGACAATTTTCCACAAATGATTTCTTTAAATGTGTATCATTTTGATAAATTCTAAAATATCATCATCAACATGAAAATTAACAACAGAAAACAAATATATATATATAGTGACAATTTTTCACAAGTTATTTGTTTAAGTGAAGATAATTTTAATAAACTGTAAGACAACATAGCTAAATATGAAATGATTAATGAGACTAATTATAAATCTTAACCTGGATCTTGGTTAATATATACAGGGTGTCCCAAAAAAATGTATACAAATTTTGAATGATTATAAATAGAATGTTTATTAAGATATGTTTGAGTTTTATAATCCAAGTTAAAGAAGACAAGTATAGAATATTTTGAGTTATCGCAGGTA